CCAAAAAAAAAAAAAAGTGGTAAAAGTTCTGTCTGAAGATGGCACTACAACATACAATGTGCTGTGCACCATGAACTACAACTTCCCTCGTCCTCCCGTTCTAGTTCAGTCCTAGAAGGAAGTGACAGCTTTTAAATATCTGCACGAAAGGACTTAAAGTTGCAGCAAAGAATCGAGTACAAATTAAAAGAAACAAGTTTCCATGCTTCGATTGGATATAATCTAAACATAATAGGGATAAAGAACGAGATAGTGTGAAATCAATCAGATATAATGTCCCACCACCTGCTAAGTTCCCACTCCCTTGCTCCTTGCTGCCGAGAAGTTAAGCTCAAACCTGAAAGCAATATGATGGAAATCAAGCACAGGAAAGAATCAGCGTTGTCAAATGCTCATTTAAGGCGCGTTTAAGCCCTGAAGATCAAAAAGCTTAGTGAGGGCTCTTCGCCTCGCTTAAGTTGCGCCTAAGGCAAGGCACTAAGACGTGAACCTCATTGCCTATGAGTTTTGTCGTAAATCAAGCGACAGTAAACAACAAATATAGTCGGAACGTCATTGCCTATGAGTTTTGCCAGACATGAACCTCATTGCCTTCACCTCGCTTAACATTGCGCCTTTTTTTACTAAAACCCACACTTTAAGTGCGTTTTGCGCTTAAAGCCCCAACATACCTAGAGCGCTTTTTAGAGCTTTTCATCTTTAACAACACTAGAAAGAATAATAAATTACTGGTACTTAGGGTCTGAAAAATGCCAAAAGAGACAGATGAAATGCACAAGAATTAGAAAGGGGAATAGATTCTTCAAACTTCCATGTATAAACAATATGAACGTCATATATTAAACAATTAAAGATTATTTTGCTTCAAATAGGGACATATTTTACCTATAATTCAAAAATAGGATATTCATCAAAATCCATAAGGAGGTACAAAGCGACGGTAATGTAACTTTTGAAGAAAGAAAGTCATGTTCATGCATTTTATATTACAGATGGTATCCGAGCCAACTTGCATGCACCTCAACTATAACTACTACCTCCTACTAGCATATGTACCGACTTACTCTATCCGCCTAGGCTTAGGAAACTGCGAAGAGTTCACCTAGTGTTATTGGGATTCACCCCTAGTTCCCAAAGTTATCACTCTAACTCTTTAACCATTGAGCAACGTTTGGAAGATCCAGAATCCATTATTGATTATAAGCACATGCATCTTTCCATGAAATGATTCAATCAACGAACCACGCCTCAATCCCAAAATTAATTGGGTTGGCTATGTAAATCTTGTCTACTACATTATTCGCTCTATTTAGGTCTATTCCACTCCAATACTAAATAACGACATATCTAAGGGTTCTATAAATCTCTTACGTGACTCTTAGTTATTAGCTAACTCTACAACAACAACAGACAACATCATCACCATACCCAATACAATCCGACAAGTGGGGTTTGGGGAGGGTAGTGTATACACAAGCCTTACCCCTACCTTATGGAGGTAGAGAGATTGTTTCCGAAGACCCTCGGCTCAAGGTATTAGCTAACTCTGTTCGTTCCATAACAAAGACTTAATATCACACCACATATTTAGCAGATGGTCTGCAAATTTATTCAACATAAACACATATCTCTTATCCAAAAAAAAAAAAAAAACATTGCACCCAAATGAATAGGAAATAAGCCCTATCAACATGTAAATCACATTGACAATTGAAAAGGAAATTGACCTAATGAAATGAGAACAGTATGGTAACACTGAATGTTTTCCTATTTATGGGACCCTTATACGTAGTAAATAATTTCAACAATAAGCTGCACTGCCTCGAGTAGCTCCGTGTTATTTTATAGGACTTGTTGGTAAGTTCGGGCGGGGTCCCGGGGG